TCATAACCCAGAATCCGAGTCCCCTCACCATGATCAAGTGCCGGCTCCCACAGCCTGTCCTCATCCAAACAACACGACCAGCCCACACTACCCACTCTCCCACACGCGCGCGACACAGCCGCTGGGTATCAAACTTTGGGACCCACCGGCCCCAGAAGATAAAAACCGACAACAAAACGCGTGTCACTTCTTGGACATCATCAACCTTCAAAAACTCATCCTTCATCCACCCCCCCTTTCCCCGACGCGTCAAACTCCTCCACCATAGCCACGATATCAGCGTCGGGGATGTTGTTGCCGACCTGCTTGCTGACCTTGCGCAGGTCGTCCTGGGTGATCATGCCCTTGCCGTCGGTGTCGAATAGGCGGAAGGCGCGGCGCAGCTCCTCGCGCGGGTCGCGGGCGCGGATGAGCGACCCGGAGATGGCCTGCGCCGTCGGCAGGTTGAACTGGCGGTACACGGGCGCGCACTCCTGGTCGTGCGGCCAGCTCGCCGGCTTCTGCCCGTGCCGGATCAGCAGGTCGTACGTCTGCGCCTTGGGCAGCTCGAACCCCAGCGCCCGCAGCACGAACCGGAATTCCTCGTATGAGAGCAACCCGTCCTTGTTGGAGTCGAAGAGGTCAAACTGCAACGGGAAAAAAAGAAAGGTTAGGGAGGTTTGGTTTGGTTTGGGGGGAGGGCTGGCCGTGGGATTAGGTTGACGTACTGCTTCGTTGATACGTGTTTTTTGTTCGTCGGCGAGCTTATTAAAGTCTTCCCTTGCTGGGATGGTGTATTGTATTGCGCGCCCCGTGGATGCCATTGTGTCTGTCGCGTGGTATTTTTGCAATTGGCGCGCGAGGCGCAGAGTGCGCAGAAGCTCGGAGCACAAAGGCTAAGCTACACCTAAGGTCGTCGAGGTTCGCCCGCGGCGGGAAGGCGGTCGGCGATGCAATGCGATGGATGCAATGAATGCAGTTAGGGGCGTCTGTCAAAACAAAAACAACAGCGCCCAATGAAACGAACGGTATCGCTAACCGAGGAGCTATTCGTAATGAGAAAATCGCAGCAAAATCGCTATGTTTTGGACCAAGATATCGCCGTTGCGCCTTGTCTCGAGTCGTCCTGTCGCGTGTGCTAGGTGGTTACGTTGATGATGCCCCTCCACCTCCCTGAGTGCCAGTGCTTCAGGCTTCGACAAAGACAAAATCGCGTCTATCCCTGTCCACTTTACGCGACTGGTTTCGTTTCCGTCGCGCCCCTGCCGAAAGAAAGTGGGTCGGAAGCTCAATGTCTAGCAACCCACTTTATTTCTCGGTGGGGATAAGTTGATTGATCTTTTTTCCCGTCCGCAACACCAAGAACCGACATCACCACACCACGATCCAACGACAGCCGCCATAACCAATTCTGTCCCATAACAAAGACACAGCTCATTTGATTCAACAACAAACCATTCCAACCACCCATTTCCACCCCAACCAACCCTACCCACCCCTCCCCCCCCCCCCCCCCCCCAAAAAAAAATGCCCAAACGCAAACGCGACATCTCCCTCGACGAGCTCTTCGCCCGCCACCGCACCGACCTCTTCCAAGCGCTACGCACAGCCAAGGGCTTCGAACGCCAGCGCCAATCCAAGCGGCTTGCGGACCGCAAGGCGCCCCCCGACAAGCGGGCGCGCATCGAGAACGAGATCGTCGTGCTCAAGTCGCTCGACCTGCAGCAGACGGAGCACGCCCACCTGTGCTCGTCGCTGCTGCGCGTCAAGGGAATTGCTGACGCTGCCGACCGCCTGCCTGCAGAGGTTCGTGCTGGTGTCCCCAAGCCGGAGCTGACGGAGGAGGAGCGCGCCGCGCTGCATAATGTGACGAGTTCGTTGTATAATCGGGTGGAGGTGAAGCCGGGTGGTGGAGAAGGCGGTGGAGGCGGTTTGTGAGGGTGTTGGGGGTGGCGGTGCCGGAAAAAAAGGGGAGGGTGAGGAAGGGGAAGGAAGGGGATGGGTTGGGAGATGGGGCGGGGAAGAAGAAAGGGGATAGGGCTGAAGTGAAGGCCGGTGGGGACGATGAAGAGAAAGATGGGGGAAAGGAAGCTAGGCCAGGGAAAAAGGAAGGGAAAAAAGGCGGAGAGAAGGCTGACCAGGACGGCCAACCTAACAACAGTGAGCCTGATGAAGAGGAGGAAGAAAAGAGCATCTCTCAGCTGGATAAGCTGTTGGGTATGGATTCTGACGAGGAGAGCGATGATGAAAGCGAGGAAGTGCTCGTATAAAGGCCGGGCGAGAAAGCGGTCAACCGTGGAGCTGGACCCGATGGAAATCACAACCGACGAGGAGGATGGAGACGACCAAGATCTGGACCCTATGGAGCTCACCTCTGGCGAGGAAGAGGCGAGCGGCAGCGAAGAGGAGTTTAATGGGTTCAGCGATGACGAAGGCCAGCAGAGCTCGGCCAGCGATGACGAGGCCGACTCAGATGCCGAGAGTTCTGCCTCGTCTGTGTCTCGCTCGCCCCCGGTAAAGAAAGCCAAAAAGGCAAAGGGACCGCTCAAACCAACAGACTCCACCTTCTTGCCCAGTCTCATGGGCGGCTACATCTCAGGTTCCGAGTCGGCATCCGACATCGATGTGGCCCCGGAACGCCGAAACCGCCGAGGGCAGCGCGCGAGACAAGCCATTTGGGAGAAGAAGTTTGGCGAAAAGGCAAAGCATCTCCAAGAGCCCGCCAAGGGCCGGGACTCGGGCTGGGATCTCAAGCGGGGTGCTGTCGACGCAAACTCGAAGCCATGGAAACGCGGTATCCGCAACCCCCTACTTAATAAGGCCAAGGCCTCCTCCGGGGCAAATGATACGGAACTGGGACCCCCAAAGAAAGAGCCAGCTCCGAGAAAACGGGATGACTCGGGGTCTCTCCACCCAAGTTGGGAGGCAAGGCGGTTAGCCAAGGCAAAGGAGCAGATGAGTGCTCCGTTCCAAGGAAAGAAGATCACCTTCGACTGAAGTAGGTGGGTTATTATTGAAAGAAAAATATACCCGAGGGCATTTGCCCTGATATCTGATTCCATGTAACGCCTGTGCCCTGGGTATCTCAATGCACGGCCTGGCCCGAACGCCTTGCAATGAACTCGCATGAAAAAGGAAAAGAAATCTGGCAGAAGCGAAGTGGTGCATGGGATTGCGATTGAGCGCGCAAAGGAATAGAACGCAAGACGAAGATAGGATCCTTTCCATGGTATGAAAGGGACGCCTCAGCCAAATCAGCAACCGCACCACCCATTACCATTCCATTAACCGCCCAGACTTCCGCCCCATCCCGCCTCACACCACTCTCAACCTTACTTCCCAACCTGAGGACGCTTGCCCCCGGACGTGCCACCCTTGGACACCCGACTCCGCGATCGTTTGAGCTGCCCCCCATCACCAACACCCAGCCTAGTCAGCCAACCCTTGCCGACCCCTTCATCATCGCCATCGGTACCAGAGTCAGCGTCCAAGCCAGAGGACAAGCGCCCCTTCCTACCACCACCACTACCGCTGCTGCTGCTGCTGCCGGCATTACTACCACCCCCTGAACCACCCGAGCCAGAGAACAATACTATCCCATACTGCTGGCCCCGGAACCTCCCGATCCGGAGAACATAACTTCCCGCCCTGCTACCCCATGAACCGCCCGAGCCAAAGAACAAACTCCCCATCCTACCACCACTACCACCGCCTCTCTCACCCTTCCCCCGCCTCAGACGAAAACGAAGACTCCTCCTCCTCTTCCTCGAACGTCGACGAAGAGGACACCTCATCCGACGCCAAAGACGACAGCTCCTCCATCAAACCCCCCTCCCCTGCCAACAAAGCCCTAAAAACCCCACTCCCATCCCGATTTCCGTTCCCACCCCCAACCCCATCCCCATTCCTGGCCCCATTATCCCCATTCACATTCCCACCCCCACCAGCCCGCCACGGCAACCGAAACGGCTGCTGCGACCGCTGTCCCGACGGCCCCGGCGTGACGGACGACGCCACTGTGGCGGTCGACGCACGACTTATTTGGGAAAGGGTAGCGGGCAGGGTCGTGTTTGTGTTTGTGTTTGTGTTGGGGGCCATGTCCATGGTGCTGGGGCGTGTGTGGGAAGCTGTGGCTGGGCCGAGCCGCGTCCCCTGGGTTGGGGTTGGGGGTAGGGGTGCGGGCTAAGGGATGGGTGTTGCAAGGGGTTGTTGGGCCTGATGGTGGTCGTGGGCCTAAGGTCCGAACCCTGCTGGGGTTGGGGTTGTTGAGGGTGGGATTGCGGTTGGTGTTGGGACTGCTCGGGCCGGGCGTGACGAAGAGCGCGCTGGTGGTTGATTCGCGCCGGTGGCGTGTTTGTTCGGGGGGGGAATGGGATGCCTGGGGCGGGGGTCTGGTTGGGGGTTGTTCTTGCGGTGCCGGTAGGGCCGGGCGTGACAAATAGTCGGCTCGTGGTCGACTCCCGCCGTTTGGGTGCGGTTGGGGTGCTGGCAGCCGATTCCAGGAGAAAATCACTGCGGGTGCGGCTGTGGGAGAGGATCGATGATGAGGAGCGGCTGGGCAGGTGGGTGCGGAGGATCCCATTGAAGAATCGATGGGATTTGGCTGCGGTGTCTGACTCCGAGTCCGAGGATGGCAAATCCGGCAATAGGTCTGAGTCTGTGGATGACTCGGGTGACGAGGAGGATATAGTCAAGTCTATGTCTGGTTCCGTACTGTCATCCGAAACGAACAGCCTGGAGTTGGAACGCCGGTGCTGGTGTTGGCGCTGGCGGAACAAAGACAGGGCAGATTCACTCAAACCCAACGGGTTCTCAGGACCGGAGGGGCCGTCAGAATCGGTCGAGGTGGTAGAGTCAAAGTCCGACGAATCAGAAGATATGTCAAGTACCGACGCGGTGCTGAGAAATGAACGCCACGTCCGCATCGCTGTTGGCGTTTCGGGCCCGGAGGTCGTCGTATGAGCAACGGCCGTTACTGTCGATGAGGACGCTCTTCACCAATTCCAGTCATCGGGGGCGGGCGTCCACTTCTGCCCCTCATCCTTCCAGAGCGGCTCGAGGTTTCGAGTTTGATGCTCTCTCTCAACGGCGCATAGGGAGTGTCGTCGTGTTGGTCACGTCTCCACGAACGACCAATCCTGAACAGGCTTGCGGACGCTGCGTCCGGTCTTGAGCACCTTGGCGAAGTCATAGAAGCGGATCCACTCGAGACCGCGGAGCTGGTAGATGTAGTCGAGGCCCTGGAGGCACCGGAGAGAACGGGTCATTCTCTGGTTCGGCTGCCCGGCTGTCTTTGCGGCGAGGAACTTTTTGATGGTCGGGGCCTCGTACCCGCGCCGGATATACTGTTTACCCGTCTCATTGAGGTGGATGACGAGGGTCTTCAGCCGGTACATGTCGATCAACCAGGTCATGGGGAAGGACCGGCGCGAGAAGGGCCTCTTGTTTCGCGTGTCTAAGGGTGTCGTCAAGTATTGGTTGCCGGTCAAAAAGACCTCGACATGCTGGATTCTGGCGATGCGGGCGAGGCCGGAACCTTGACAGAACCTTCCCAGCTCCCCAAGGCTGGAGAAGGCGAATGTGTTGAGTCCATAAAATAAGTGGACTCCGATGAAATAGAAGCGCCTACTGACAGTGAGGATACTCAGGACGTCTTCAGGCTTTGCCCCATCCTCGGATAGGTTCATTTCTCTCTCGCCCCAGTAGAAGCGATGCGGCAAGCCGCTTCTGTTTTCGGCCAGTTCTTCATCGCTGGGGAATTCTTCCGGCTGCACAAATGGGTCGAGCCTGGATATGCAATGGATAATTTTCGCCCTCCTTGTGGAGAAGCAGCTTGAGTATCTTTGCCTGGAGCTCCCATGGCAGCTTCTCAAAGGAGAATGGTTTTTCATCTCGCACCGGTTGGGTGTTGTCATCCTCCAGGACGACTTCGGGGGCTTCCTCGCCCTCTACATCGGATGAATCGGTCTCGGAGCCCGGATTGTGTTGCGCCAGCCGCCTGGGCCCCACGAACTTGATGTCTGGGTGGACCATCGGGGTTCTGGAGCTCATGTTCTCTTCCTTGCAACTAAGCCGATAATTCCGGGTGTATTGCTTTGGGTTTGGATGAAAGATCATGAGATACCCCCGGAGCTCGTCCGGTCCAAGTCTAAAAGAGATATACATGTTAACCACTGTCTGGGAGAGATGCCTCGAAAATATCTCCGAACGTACACGTTCAGTGTGTTTGCCCTGGCCGGACCGTCTGGCTTTGAGCGTGTTATTCTCGCGCTCGAGGTCACTCTTCTCTTCTTTCAGTTGGCGTATGTCCCTCGTTTTGCCTTGGCTCTCTATTCTGAGCTCTTGTATCCTGACGTTGAGCCGGTCGACCTCGGCTCTCAGCATCCCTTCTCGCCGCGTGCACTGCGGGTTGACGCAGTGGAGGGCTTCAGATGGGCCTATGGGGGGCCCTTGGCCTGGACCAGAAGCGTTGCCAGCCATTGTGTGTGCCGGGAGGTCGAAACTTTGAAGGAATGAAGCAAGAAACGTGGCTGCTGTGATTTCGAGGCAGTTGGAAATGTATAGAGCAACGGCCGTGGCCGGCTCGGATACCGTGAACTTGAAGTTTGAACGAGGAAAATGAAGGAAGGAGGTAATGATAAGTAGAGACGGAAAAGGCGAGTGATGGTACTCTGAACGAGGCTTAGAAAACGAAGCAATACAGACAGGAGTTGAGCTCTGGCTGCGGTTTTGGTTCCAGGGTTGAGAAAAGAAAGTCTTCCTGAAGAGCCAGGGTTCTGGTATCCTCAACCCCATGAAAGAAGAGGAACCCAGCGTGAATAACCGGGCATTGGAATTCCTTAGCTTCCTCAAGTGGTGATATCATTACCAAAGAGCACCGTCAACACCATTGGCAAAAAGGGCTGGAAGGTGGGAGTGAAACCGGAGATGCTTAGGAATGTTTAAGGTCGTGGTTTGTGTGTAGTTGGCTCGAGGGCGCAACTTGTAAGTCGACATTTTCCAAGTTGGGACAAAAGAAGGAGGACGAAACTCAGATCTTTGGTTTTTCTTATTCCAAGAACTTGGGCATCGGCAAGAACGCCAATGTAAGCCGTAGGAAAAAGGGAGTGGATTAACAGACTGTTTTTAGGAGAGACCCAAAACCTGTATTGCCACGTTAAGCCCCTCGAGTTGACACAACCTACGTAGCATGAAAGCACAAGTTCGTGGGGGTGAGAAAATGATTGGAATCCCGTCCCATTAGCAAAAGAGTTAACCAGCTAGAAACAAACCAGGCTGGAACCTCTAGAACAGAGAAGGAAGGTACGTTTTCCGGGACAATAATTAGAGAGTCCGCAGCCCGCAGCCCGCAGCCCGCAAACTCCCTGCAGGAGTTGGCAGGATATAGAGCGTGGCTGGAAACTGAGCAGAAGGGAGGAAAGAAGCATGGAAGTTATTTCCAAGAGAGAGGCAGAAAATTACAGAACGGCACCTCACCATCCACATCCTCGTTGCGAGAGAACACCGCAGTTATAAGTTGGTTTATGCTTTGTTATTTCACAGTAATAGGGTTCCAGAGAGAGACCTATCTACCAACAACACCATTCCGAACCTAGGGATCCGCTTCACAGCTAACAGAGAAAAGTACCTTAGCTCTGCTGTCAGCACAAATGAAGGCTACATACAGGTGGGTCAAATAAGCAAGATGGCACGTTGTTCAAGACCGACTCCGCACAATGCTGAGACAGCAATACCATAACCAACACCAAACCCCATCAACACAGGTCACAACCACCGCACGAACAGCTGTATCACAGGTTTTCGATTGCTAGACTCACTCAGCCCACCAAGCAACGTCCCTGCACCGTGCAAGGTAAAAGCCGCAAGGAAGCAAAGGATAGCAGCAGTAAAGTGACAACAAGCCAAACCAACCCCAAGCACCAATCCCATCCCATCCCATCCCAGTCCAGCCAGCCGATCGAACCGAACCAAACCGCACCGAACCCAACCCCCCCGCCCCCCGAACGAAGCCAAGCCCAGCAGCCCCCAAATCCCCCATCCAAATACCGACCCCCGCAAGCCCATGCATCGCGCGCGTCTTTCTACTACTTGTATGTATGGAGAGGTAATAGGGTAAGTAAGGTAGACTAGCCCAACCCGTCTTTATAACCTGACCTGACACCCACCCAACCAACCAGCCAACGACCCTACACCGCCGTTCCCAATGGGGAGTTAAACGTATCATTCTGTCTGGGCTTTTCACCGAAGCCAAGCGGGAGCAGCAAAAAAAGGGGGAAAAAAAGAGGATGAAAAAAGGGAAGGGAGAAAAAAGCAAACGCCTCCTCCCCTCCGCGGATGATGGCATGGCCCAACCCTAGCCAAGTTGGCCAGCCCAGCCGAGAAGAGAAAAGCCCGAAGCCAAAACCCACACCTCAAAACGTTAGAGCCCACCTCCATGTACACAACACAATACAACACAACCCAGCAACGCCCCCAACGAGGCGCGCATGCAAAGTCCTCACCGGCCCGCCCAACCAAACCACCAAATCTCAATCAC